CCCGGTCCAGTATGCTCAAAGATGGTCGAGATCCCGATGTCAAGACCCTCCCGCCCATGCTCTCGGAATGATCATCGAGCGAGAGAAGAGCCGACGCCGGGTCCCGAGCGGCCATCCATCGGAGCGGCGGCTCCCTGCGCAGGGAGCGGCTTCTCCCGACAAAGGGGCCGGTGGCGGCTCCTCCCCGACCTGTCAGGCGGCACCACCGCCAGACTCGAGGACCTCCTCCGCTGACCTCCCCCCCTGCCTGGGCCGCTTCGAGCGCCACGGTGGATCCACTGGGCCTCGGTGGCGCTGGATTGCACTACGCCTCTGGCGCCACCACGACCGCGCCCCGGCCGATCTCGGCTTGGCGCGGTCACGACCACCTCCACCGGCAGTATGCGGCCCCTCGGCCGGCTGCTTCCACGACCGCCACGGAGGAGGCCGCCGCCAAGAATCCTCCGCGGGCGTGGGAGCCACCATGGGCGCCGCTGGTCGGCCCAACGCGGCCCCGACGCCGCCACCACACCTCGCCCCAAACGGGTGACTCCAGCGACGCCGTCTCGTCCCCGCTTGAAGGGCGAGACTTTTCTTGGGCGCCAAATTTCTGGGGTGACCCGTCCGCAAGAACTCCGCACAAAAGGTAATAACCATTAAGTCAAAATAAAATTAGAAAAGGATGAAAACAGAGGAATCAACAGCTTACGTTGACGCCCCTCGGCCGGCGGAAGCATTTTGGGGATGGATCCCGCATCCCCGCCTCGACTCATCCGGGCGGGACCGCTTATGCCCCGCCCCCTCCCGGCGGGGGGGGGGAGTCATCTCGCCTGCCGGGCGCACCGAGCCGCCCCTCCATCGCCTCACGGGTGCAAGACCGAGCTGCTCCCTCCATCGTCGCCGGAATGGCGGCGCGGTCCCCCCCCCCATCCACCGGTCCTCGGCCGCACGCGCCAGGCGGCGCGGGCGGACTCACCGCCTCCACCGACCTTCATCGATCTACTTCCCTCCGCATGGAAAGGGAAGGGCCCTCGACGGATGGGTGGCCACTGTCAACAGTGTCCTCGCCCTCCAGACGCCCCAATCCACGCCGACGGCTACCTCGCCGCCATCATCATCATCATCATCATCGCGCCGCCGCCTCACCGCCACGCCCCTCTCCCCGATCCTGCGCCTCCCGCTTCAGCCAAGCTAGCTTTCTTCATCATCTCTTCCCTTGCTTTCTTGTCCCGCCGGCCACGAAGTCGATTCGCCGCCACCACGACCTTGTCCTTCGGCAAAGGAACTGGTCGTCCTTAAAGACCAAAGACCTCTACCGGTCCCAACGCATAAAGCAAGTGTTAAAAAATGGAGATCCAGAAAAAAGAAAAGAGCACGGAGAGGAGAGCTTACGAATTCAAAGAATCCAGTGCCGGCCAAGATTGGGGGTGTCCGCACCGGATACACAAATGTCGAGGACCCCGCTCAGAGAATCCTTCGTCGGCTCCGCCGCCTCCTTGATGCGCCGCGCCACTTCCGAGTAAGGGAGCGCCTCATCAACAAGCACCGCCCCTCGAAGCGATATCCCGCATCATCCGATGCAGGGAAGCACACGCCATCGAGGGCGCCACCTCCTAGCGTGGTAGGCACCGATAATCCTCGCCCCTTTACACCCCCCGACCCTTCGTAGGCTTGAGGGCGGAAAGAAGGTCGAGATGTGTTTTTGTCTTTGGTCCGACGCCCAAATTTCACGACTCGAACGCCCACAATAAGACGCCCAAAGATACTTTCGTAGGGTGGCACTCGCGTCATCCCTAACGTAAAAACCATCGCGAAAAGTGCCATCCCTTGTTGGATGTCGCCAGACGCATGTATGGGTAACCTTCGACCGGTATGGCGCAGATGAATGCCGGCACACCCCATCGGCGCTGCTCACGCGCTTTTTTCCCCAATCTTCCTCTTTGATGACTAATGTTAAAGAAATACCGCCACAGATCAAAATGGGGATCGATCCTCAGAAACCCTCGCACAGGCAACAAACGCCGCCATGTGTCAATCCCATTGGGAGTTAGATGTCGCAGCTCTACCTCATAGTAATCCAACAGCCCCGAATGAATCTATGCGCGGGTACCTTAATCCCCGCCATGGAAGATGGCAAAGAGACGACATACCTTTCAGCGGCACTGCTCACCCTCGCCGCCAGTAGCAACCACTCCTGGACGGCGGACAAGGGGGAGAAGGCCACGGCGACGAGGCCCTCCAGACGCCGGAGGTGATGTTGATCTGCCCCACAACCCATTAAAGCAAGAGGGGGAGGGCAGCGCGAGCTTGACGGTGGCGGCTAGAACACGAACGCAGGCCGGTCCGACGGTGGCGATGCGGGCGCGAGAGGCTGGGACGATTGGCGGCGGATGTTTCAGAACGCAAAGGCAGGGGAGCGAAATACGGAACCTTGGGGGCGAACCCCGTGGTTTTATAGGGGGCGACGGACGCGAGAAGGGCAACCGTCCGCCTCGATCTCCGGGCCTGCCACGCGCCACACATCACACACGTCATGGGACACGCGCCCGCAGTCCCTATCCTCTCACCCCAAAAATCTGTGCGGACAGATCGCCTTCCCCAGGCGAATCCGGACTCTCTACCCACCTGGGAAATGCAAGCCACAAAGGCCTGTTTTTTCTCTTTGGCCCACCTAGGGCCCAAGCTCACCGGCCGCCCAACTAAGAAAGGATCCATGATCGATCCAAAATCAAGGGCGTAAGCACCAGCTAGGTCAGCCCCAAATCAGTTCCCAAAGAACGGGATGCCACGACCCACTCGGAAAAATGTCCAGCTGATTTAAAAATTAAGTCCTTCAAATTTTTACCCGCTAAGGGATCGATATAACCCCCAAGCGACTCTCACTCAAATCACCCGGGGCTCAAGGGTACACCCATCCAGGTGCCATTCACCCTCCCCTACAAAGTAACCTCGACGAAATCAAAAAACACCCTCCAGCGGTTCTACTCGAATCACCTAGAGGCTCGGGGCTACTGTCGGGGACCTAATACCGGGTACCCTGTAAGGTGGAACCAATAACCACCGAACGTTAAAAACTTCGGACGATAAGAGCGCTGCTTCACCCTCACGGAATGATAGAGCTTGGTTCCACCTCGCCTGACGCCTTTGGGTGGGCTCGGTCTCGCCCGAGGGCCGAGGATTAGTCTCCGCCTCGCCTGACGCCTTTTGACGGGCTCGATCTCGTCCAAGGCCGAGGGATAAACCCCACTCTCGCCTGACGCCTTTGATGTGGCTCGCCGCCCGAGGGGCACAGGGCTAGTCTCCGCCTCGCCTCGGACGCCTTTAGGGCGGGCTCGGTCTCGCCCGAGGGCCGAGGATAGACTCCGCCGCCCGCCTGACCCCGGAGGAGCAGTGGTCGGTCTCACCCAGAGATAGGGATTGGTCTCCGCTTCACCTGACGGCAAGGAACAAGCCTCACTCGCCCCATATCTAAAGATTGATTCATCTTACCTCGACCACTTCTCCCTGCTCCTTCAAGATGATAGAGACAGGCAAGACAAGACGTTCAGTCAACCGTGGCTCCAAGAACCATACCTCGCACCTCGGGCAGAAAAGTACTGCCAGGGGATGACGGACGGGCGCTTTAGGCCCTTCCAGGCGCCAGCAGAGCCCGAAAGGTGTCACAAAAGTAGCTCTCCACCACTCAGAGTTGTAGGCGCCGCCTTCACTGGGACACGGAACCCGAGGAAGATATACGACAACCACTACGCCCGTAAAAGGATTTGCTATTCTCCACGAACGACGGATATTCCGTCACCACGCTGGGGACCCAAGGGAGCGGCGCCCGCTTCCCGACCCCTCTCAGTCCACCAAGACAGAAGACCTTGGCCACGGCGCTACTCACTCCACCCCACCCCGCCCCTCCGACGAAGACTCATAGGAACCGTATATGCATGAGCAAGGCCGGGAGGCTCAAAAGTCAAAACCATCAGATCATGGCCCATACCTCAAGCAAGTAGGTAGCATTCTCAGAACCAACCCGACATTCTACAGAGACATCGACAAGATTGTAGGCGCTTATCTTCCTTCGCACTCATCGTAATGAAGAACCAGTGCCGGTAGACGTGAGCCACAAGACTAAGTAGAGTACGATCCTAAAGCTCTCACCCTTGTAAAGCCAAATTTCTTCATCTATAAAAGGGGATGCGCTTCCTCCATAAAAAGGAGAGAGAAAAAGATCGAACGATACGACTCTCGACATACACACAGTCAAGTTGTGTCGAACCTCTTGACATCCCTTCAACCCTTCCATCGTTTATACCCTTCCATCGAGACTTGGGACCAGTCCCTCTCTCGATCGTTGTACCCTTTACTACAAACCGCTCACTTGCTAATAACACGAAGCAAAGAACAAACCGGACGTAGGGACTTTCGGCCGAACCAAGATAAATCTTGTGTCCTTTAGCGCACCATCCGAGCTAACGCACATTATTATATAATTTACTTGCCGGTGCTTGTACGAAACTTGAGCCGGCTAGTGGTGATTTTGCTCGCCTTTTCAAGAGAGCAATTCCATGACTCGCATCGATCATCCATCATACAAGGATACTGCAGCATAATAACTGCTTCTATGAATCAGATCTCGCCACTTCTTCACCCGCCAGACTACCGGTGTCTTATACGTATTGATGCATTCTGCAGTTCTGCGGGCAGTTAAAACCGCGGAAACTGTCAACGTCATCTTTTCAGATCGGAAACCACAAGGACGCAATTCCACGGAACTCCAGAAATGATCTAACACGATTGGTGCAACAATAAGATCACAGAATCAACTCGAGTTGTCGACAATACCTGCCTGCATTCAGCTACCTACGCAACCTAAACTTCGACGACGTACTAATCTTACTACTAATCGCAGGATAGTGGGACTTGAACATCCACGAGTTCTTACGGCCGACAAAAGACACCAAGGCTGCACCACCATCCTAATCTAGATACCGAATCCCTCCCTGCTGAGTGAAGGAGCCATCAAGGTCCTCCCTTCAGACGCCGGTGGATCCGAACCCTGCCTCGCCACGGACGGTGGCGTCGAGGTCCTCCACCTCCGCGACCTCGGGCGTCGCGATCACCTCGATGATCATCTGCGCGATCCTGTCGCCGGGCTTCACGGCGAAGTCGGCGTCGGAGTGGTTGAAGAGGATGACCCCGACGGGGCCGCGGTAGTCAGTGTCGATCACGCCGGCGCCCACGTCGATGGAGTGCTTCAGCGCCAGCCCGGACCTAGGCGCTGCAACGTGACCAGACCGGACAAACATTTTGTCAAACACCCGCGGGGCGAACAGCCGAACAAGAAACGAGACACGAAGGGGAGGTTATGTCGCTCACCGATGCGCGCGTATGTTCCGTGGGGGATGGCGACGCTGAGGTCGGTCGGCACCAGCGCCTTGCCACGCGCCGGCACCACGACCTCCACGGCACTGACAACAACAACCAAAGAAACAGAACGTCAACAGATCCGCGCGCCCCTGGGGATTTCTTGGGCATTTAGGGGGGCGGCGATGAAGGGCGTACCTAGAGAGGTCGTAGCCGGCGGCGAGGTCGGAGCTGCGGGACGGCAGCACGGCCTTGTCGGAGAGCTTCTTCACCTTGAGCAGGGGGGAGATCTTGGAGATCTTCTGGGGAGGCTCCTGGACGGAGTCGGTGGCGGCAGCGGCGGCGCCGTTGGATGCGGCCATGGCTAAGGTCGAGAGGCTTCTTGGGTGCAGGCGGCGGGTGAAGGGGAGAAATCTGGAAGGAGTTTGGGTTGAGTGGAGGAAGAGGTTGCGGGGGCGGGGGATAAATAGGTAGGCGGCGGCGCGGGAATAGATGGCTCCAAACTTTCCCGCCATGTTTGCCCTGCCCTGCTCGCTCGAAATTTTTCTCAGCCGGTTTGGTTGGTCTGGGTCTCCGATGCGGTCTGCGTCCTGCCACCCATTTTAAATGCCACCACCAGGTACCGACTAGAGTACCAGCAAACTTTTTCTTCGTTGCCGCAAAATCCGCCTGCTTTATTTCTCGGAGATTGCGTTTTATTTTCATCATTAATCAAGTGAGAAGAAAAGTAAAAAAAAGGCCGGGTACAACAACTGAACAACACCACGATCTCCGAAGTACGGAGTACCGAAGACGACCTTTTTTCTCTAAACCGAAACAAACGATCCTCCCACGACCAAGTAACAAACAAACATAAACCTTAAGAAACAACGGAAATGCTATGGAAAGGACAGGAAGCTTCTTTCCGGGCCTGCGAATCGGCTCAACAAGCCTCGCCTCCTGCCGTCTACCTTCGTTCCTTTACTATAAAAAATTACAAAGCAACATTTCTCCCCACCGCCGCGGGCGCACACTGCGCCACCCGCATGCATCACCGTCGACGGTCACTGCGCCCGCTCCACCACCCCTACCGTTGCTCCCTCCGCCGCCGGCCACGCCTGACAGCGACCACTCCCTCGGCCGCCAGTTGGCCACTGAGGCCGCTGCACACGTGCTCGCGCTCGACGACACTGACAAGCGCCGCCAGCGCAAGGAGAAGCGTCGGGCCCTGACGTGGATGTCCTCCGGCCTCACCTCCTGCTACGACTGCGGCGCCCCAATGCAAATGGCGGAGGAGGCCGCACTAGGATATAATGTATGTTTCAAGCATATATTTCAAGTGATTCAAATGTTTTGAGGTATGCTGCAAGTGTTTCATATAAATATTGTAAAATAGATCAAGATGATGCATATATTGCAATGGTTGTACATGCATGTTGCAAGTGTCTGTCCCCAATGTTTATCTGTTTTTTCCATGCGTATGTTGCAAATGGGTTTATCTGAATGTTGCATATGTTTCACACATATGTTGCAAGTGTTTTATCTGGATGTTACGTATGTTTGTAATGGTTTTCAAGTGTTTTTTTAGAGTTTTTGTAAGTGTTTCAGAACCTTATTTCAAGTGTTTTATATGTCTTCAGACGTATGTTGTAAATATTATATCTAGTTGTTTTAAAAGTAGATCCGATGTTTGTATATAGGATAGCCGGAGGGGCACGAGCGCGCGCCACGTGTGACATCGGGTGGCACGGGTCCCGTGTGGGCGCACAAAACGCAGGCATGAGTGGAGGCGTGCTGGCACAGTCATGGAGTACAGGCGCACGCGCACTGGAAACGAAACCACGATACCGTCCGATGAACCGTCGGACGTTGGGGCGCCAACAGACAAAGAATAAACTAATAAAGGGTACCCAAGAATAAACGACCAAGCGACGCCAAACATATACATGACCACATCACGGGGAGCAGGGGGAGACGAAAAGTGGCGTCCGCCAGCATGCCCGATAGGTGGGACCAGGGAGGAACTACGAGCGGGCGGGCGCGGAAGACGACAGAGGCAAATAGGAAACGTTTTAGGTTTAGACACGGGGATCAAGAATGGGTGAAAAAGTGTGATGTGTAGAAAACAAGAGATGAGAAATATATATAGGAGATGTATTGGGAAAAGAAAATTTTGTGTTGTGAGAAGAGAGTGGTGCATTAAGAAATGACAAGTATTTTGAGACAAAATTTAAATAAAAATACTCAATAGAAATGAATACACATAGCTTTGGATATATCAAATAGCAATAAATGGATGAAAGTCAATGGGGACACTACCAGTGACTCAACGCAATCCACAAATAAGCAACAATACTAAACACAAAATGCATAGTTCGCCACGGGAAGCTAATGTTCCTAATTCGGCAAATGGGCAAACTGATATGATAAATTGATTTCGGAATATACATGCTACTTCTCTAAATCTGAAAAGTAAAATGGTTGTACAAAGAAAGGTAAGATCACACGTTACTGATATTCTTGTAACAACAGTATAAACAGTTACTAACTCAACAAGATACAGCACTGAGACAAATTGCACTTTTTTCCATTAAACATAGGGCGTAGTGCACAAGATTCTATACTACAAAAACAACAAAGGGATTCCCAGGAACAGTCGAGTCGATCACCGATCACCATTGTCCATTGTTAAGGAGCGTCAAGGAACATACAACATGGGGGAGAAAAGTTTGCCTTCAAACTATTTTCCGTTGTCCACTGAAGGCCCAAATCTGTAAATTTTCAACAATTGGCAACTTCGATATCAGAAATGCTGAAATCTGCACCAAACTACTCTTTATCTGGGAATTCTCAGGATTAGCGATAAAATCTGTTATGATTTATGAGTAGGGAAAAAGAAGAGCATAATCCATTATTCCATCCTAGGCATCTAGAACTAAGAAGCACCGGTATTTCAATCCAAAGAGGATTCATTATCCATACCAAGTAAAGATTTAACCACGCAGTAATAAACGAAAGGTATTCACTTTGAATAGGGTTTAACAAACAGCATAAGGTGATATAAGTATGCATGTAATACATGTACTACTTCAGTTATAGAACTGTTAGTGTCCAAGACATAAAAGTTCAACAAAACTGAGGAAGCAGTCAGTGAAAACTATCTTTCTTAATTGTCCTTACCTTCAAATTTTTGTCCCAACTTCCTGTACACAATGCACTCCCATCAGATGACATCCCAAGGCAACTTATACGACCATCATGGGAGTTTTGTAGGTTTCCCAGATTAAGTACCACCTGCAAAATTTCAATGAAAATTAACAAGAGAAGGTAATATAAACAATAACGAGAAACAGATAAAAAAATGGCGGAGGTGACCCACAAGCCTTCACAATAACTTGAACTCAGATATGCTTTTAAATGAAGGTATACAATTGCCCATTAAGTTGGCCCAATTCAAAACCTATGTTCTAAACCTCTTGGCCTATAGCACTAACTAGGAATCTCTTGATACAATACAAGGTGATCTGCAGCAGAATCCTCTAAATTTGTATGCATGACCCGCGCAGGTTGATGATGTGTGGACTAGTATGGAAGGAACAGAAGCTAAGCTACTTATTCATGATGTCCTGGGCCTAGTGCAAACATCAATTCATGTAATTGTGGTAGTTGCTGAGGAGCATTTCAAAGGAAAAATTAGGCAATTAGTTCATCATATTCCATTGCTTTCCCCTGTGGCTAAATTTCACTTAATAATCACATTTGCATGCTTATATTGCTACTGAGTGGCAATGGAGTTAACACTTATCTAACATAAAGATTTTATCAATAGTGTTAACTGCTTGTCGAACATTGCCTTACTATGAATTTATGTGGCTCAAAAAAGTGAACTGTAATCAATTATGTCATATTTTTCTCAATAGAAGGAAACCGGACAGTGGTGAAACAGTAATTTGTCAATTATGGGCATTAGTTTTTCTTTGTAATATATAATAAGCTGTATTCATTCCATGGCAAATGGTAAAAAATGCAAACCTCAGCAAGAAGTGTGTCCCACACATAACAGTCACCATTGGAGTAACCAGCAAAAAGTAGCCTTCCTGATATCGAAAATGCAATAGATGTAACAGTAGGTAGTTCATTATCATTTCTATCAGGCTCCCTACTGTACACCTGAAGTTGATGCCCTGTTCTCATATCAAATAATCTACATGTGCCATCATCTGAGCCAGTACCAAACCTATGGCCATCAGGGAAAAACTTCACACTGTTAACGTCGCCCTCATGTCCATGGTAGGTTCGAACAGCTCGACTTGCAATTCTGATATCCCACAGCCTCACAGTTGTATCACATGAGCCAGAGACAAACATATTCGTATTTGATGAGTTGATGGACACACTGAACAAGGAAGGAAAAGATCAGAGAACTCAAAGGCAAACAAGTACACACGAAAAGAGTATAGCAAACTCCAAATATCAATGATGACCTGATAAACCAGCACTTTCAGTTAAAAAAACTGTAAAGCAGCAACACAACTGTGCTACCATATATTACTTTGATGTTCATGTATTTGCTGCATAGACAATGCATTTGGCACATTTGCATCGGCTAGACTAGATGGTAAGTAGTGCCTAATTGTACTAGGGCAATTGCATCCAGAATAAGTGATGTAATATCAGCAACCTTAGGCAAGAGTGTTACCCAAATGCCTACTGTGCTACCACGTGAAGATCTTAGTACTCTTCCGTTCCAACAAACGCGCGCGCGCGCATGCGCGCACACAATACCAAATAAAATGCACTACCAAGACACATCTCATGGTGGACCAATGAAACTAATCTGACGTTGTTGATGATGTTGGTGTGTTTTTTCAATAAACTTAGTAAATAGAGAAGTTTGACTTATGACAAGCTAAAATAACCAACATTTTGGAATGGAAGGAGTACTTGTTATTACTAAAATTACAGTCAGTGCTAAAAAGTAAGCTTTCATTGTCCAACTGTAGCAGCAGACAAATACAAATCAGCCATTTATGTAGGTAAACTTTATTAAACTCCACATGAATAATAATCAGTTCACGAACAAAACTTTAGAAGCAATAGCGATAATTTGATCATCAAACATTGACAAATTGGTAAAGCTAGCAACCTAGTGTGCACCAGCCTAAGCTAAAAATGTATAAGTGAGAAGATACCAATTAACTTTGAGGAGAGAAATCAGCAGCATTACACATGACACTAAAATATGCAGTCCTCAAAGAACAGACAATTACCTTTGAACGTCAGCTGTATGCCCTGATGGAAATTCACCTCCAAATATTGATATCCTCTGTCCAGTAGTAACATCCCAAAGAACACATGTCTGATCACCTGAGCTAGTAATAAGGCGAGTTTCCTGATCTGGGACATATTGGCATGACGAAACATAGCCCTTGTGCCCAGTAAGAATTCTTGATACTGGCATGTTCCCATCTCTGTCTGCTTGAGAGTTGAGATTGAAAATAGAGCACGCGCTATCAAGACCACCACAGGCGACAGATTGGCCATTGGGGGCAAAAGCACAGGTCATCACCCATGGGCAATGCAGCTTTATGGCATGTGTTTTCTGGCTTGTCAATGCATTCCACACAATTAACCTTCCATCTTGAGAGGCACTGACTATCCAATTCTTTTCAGGGGTCCAATCCAGAGAATACACCTGTGATGACTTGGGAGTTAATACAACACCAGTAAACCATTTCATGTAGTAATTTTGCAAGTAGTACCCTACAAAGATAGTTGAGGTGCTGAATTTCCAAGAACCACCACAAAACTCAAATATAGTCATCTTTGAACAGTTGGAACTCCACGGCTCCAAATATCCATAACTTTAGCATCATGAGGTGTTCTACTCTAGTTAAATGGCAATAAATCTGGAAGATCATAATTTTTAGCAGTGGCATCAAAGCCAGGACAAACAGAGGCTGCCATCAAAATAATGGGATGATATAACATTAGATGGGGAGACTTAATCCTTGCTAGCTTGCCTCTGAAGAGAAAGAATGATTTTCCTTTTACAGCGATGACTTGACTTGACCCCTAGAAATAATTCCTAATTTCAAGTAACGATCATCCCTCATATAGTAACTCTACAGAGATAAACCCATCACGCTACAGAACTATTTACCTGTACCACTAGCTACCAATTATCGAATAATACTTCAGTGACAGGTTAATGTGGTGTTACATTATCTCTGCAACAGAATGTACATGCAGAGAATCTTGTCCCATAGCTCAACCATCAACCTCACAATGGTATCATTTGCTTCTTCATTACTCAGACTCTGGCTCCATGTCATTACCATATATTAATCATCTTTGTGGAAAAAGCAAGCGGATAAAGAAGCAAAAGTATCACTCTGATAAATGAAAGCTACCAGTTTATCCACATTCCATGCTACAACTACAATTGGTTTTCAACCAATAACATCTAGGCGATAAAGGGATTATATGAACACACTACATGAATTATGTTGCATTATATATTTTGTAACAAAAGGGAACCTTTTCTATGGAAGAGCTCTGGCTATCACCAGTTCCCCACTTACAGTGGCAACAGTGACTTCAATTGAATGATGATTGGCCGACCAAACTTACATACTGATGGTCTGATGGACCCATTCCAGTTGTTGACAAATGTTTACAAACCTTGATCCCTGAATCCTGCACTTGCATTTTCAAAATTCTATATGGCTCACTTAACAATTCTCATAGACAAAATTGCACTCCAATTTAACCTTACCACACATTCTGTCACAGTAAGGCTTATCTAATAATGGATGCAATGCCAAATCAGTATAATTAAGAACCATTTTGTGGCTAAATACTGCAAAACGCCCATAACAGTTTTATAACTTGGTGGCCTTGCTTGCTGGATGACTCTGATGATACACTTTCTACAGGACAAAGTTAATTGAGCACTTACAGACTCCGTCCCCTTAAACGCATGCTTTAAAAATTATCCAAAGGAAGTTGAGGCTGAAGGCAAGTACACCACCAGGAGTCCAGGACGCACAAAACGCCATCCAGGTCAACAAGCACGCACCTTGGAGGCGATCCTATTGACCAGTTTTTACTCACGACGAACAACATCGCAGGTAGGAATTGCTAGCACTACCGACTCCAAGTTCCAAATTCCGCAATCGCAAAAGCTAAAAAGAAATCCCACCCATCTCACACTCAATTGCACACGAGGAAACGGAAACTAAGGAAAAAGTCGCAAAAGTTGCACCAAAATGGACGTGAGAGACCAAAGTCAACAACCTTTCCGCTATGGCCCTGCAGCGTGCGGCAGCAGACCAGATCCGTCGGGTTGAAGCTCACCGGCGCCCTCCCCTGCGACTTGGAGTACCTCGCCACTGCACCGCGCGGTCGCGCGCACACAGAGCAATCAGCAAATGCCCGCGAATTCCCCGAACCCCGCGAGAGAGGGTTCCCGACGAGCAGCGGGGAGAGAGAGAAGCCTCACCGTCCGTGTCGAGGAGCGTCTCCCGGCGCTGGCGGAGGCGCTCGCGCAGGGAGTTGACCGACGCCGTCGCGGCGGCGTGCTTCTCCTTGAGCTCCGCCACGGACGCCATGGGTGCCGCCCGCTGCTAGCCTCGCGCCGGAGACCGCCGCCGCCTCGGGATTCGAGTGCACGCGGGTGGGGATCTACGAGGATCCACGCATGGAGCGGAAATTCCAATGGCTGCGGGTATGGTACAGGGAGCTCCCAACGGAGGCGGCTGCGGGACTAGGAGGAGGAGCGGCGGCGGCGGCGGCGACGGGAAACTGACAAAGTGGAGGGAGGTGGGGAGAGGTTGGGGCAGTGTATGATTGTGTGTGAGTTGTTGGGGACGCGTTGGGTTTTGCCTTTCGGGAAGAGGTGGGGCGAGTTGATCTCCCGTACAGCGCATGACATCTGGGGCCCTCCGTCAGGACATGGGCCCGGCTGATGTGGGGGATTTATGGCAGGCTGCTGAACTGCTGAGTGCTGAGACCGCAGTGACCGTTGAGGTTGTACAGTTCGCGACTTGTGAAAACAGGGTAAGGCCTTGTTTAGTTCAGGATAGGAATCAGAATCAGTATCTGGCACTGTAGCACTTTTGTTTGTATTTGATAATTATTATTTAATTATAGCCTAACTAGGCTCAAAAGATTTATCTCGTAATTTACAATCAAACTGTGTAATTAGTTATTTTTTATCTATATTTAATACTTCATATATGTGTCCAAAAATTTGATATGATGGAGAAAGAGTGAAAAAACTTGCAATTTAAACAAGGCCTAAAAGATCATCCGGTCACATTCTTGGTAAGCAGTAGGAAGCTGATTGCACTCTTTTTTAAGAAAAAGTGTACTACTGATCTATTCTTTTCAGGGCTTAGGCCGTGTTTAGATCGTAAAAAAAATTTGAGTTTGGTGTATAGTTGCCAAAAAATTTTGGACGTCGTTCCCAAAACATGATAGCTGCACCATTAAGGTCTCTCATGCAACATGCAAACACATGCATGCACCAGTGGCTTGCTGAAGCTGCAAACGCATGCATGTTGTTGTCTCTCATGCAACAGCATGCATATTTGATCACAATGACACAACAGATGTATTGAACAATTAATCATGCATAATTCATCCACAAAACTATATTGCCGCAACCGTACATCTACAGTACACATACATGTCATCAAACACACAAAACTGTCAAGAATGCTTTAGCAAAGCATAAGCAATCGAATCACGAAATTCATTCATCAGATCAGACTCATCCTCAACTTTCTTGGGGTCAGGCTGATTCTCAGACGCTTCTCGCGGCACATAGTTATCATCACGGTCACACCTTGCAAAGTGTCTATCCCCTATGCCACTTATCCTAATGAAATTATGTAGAGCACAACATGCAACTATGATTTAGCTTTGTTTATGAGGTGCATAAGAAGGGATCTGATGCAAGATGCGCCATCTCATTTTCAAAACTCCAAATGACCTTTCAATGACATTCCTAAGACATGAATGTACATAATTGAAGGTCTCCTCTTTACCTTGGGGTTCTGGGGCGTCTCGATACTCCTACAGATGGTACTTAGTTCCCTTGTAAGGAGTAAGGTAACCTAGCCGGTTATGGTACCCGGAATCCACAAGGTAATATTTCCCTACATCAGCAAAAAAATATTTTACATTCAAGTAGTTGAACAACAAGGAACCAAATGTGTTATCAGATAGGTGTGTACCTGCAGGTGGATGTGGAAAGACATGGCTGTATGTTGTTGTTCCATCATTGAATACTCTCATGTCATGTATAGACCCCGGCCAACCAGCAAGAATAAATGTAAATCTCATGTCAAAGTCACAGACAGCCATGACATTTTGTGTAGTCATGCCCTTGCGGCACAAGTGCTGCACAAACTTATCATTGGGCACCACACAAGGTACATGAGTCCCATCTATACCCCCTATGCAGTCCTTGAAGTAGGGATAGAACCTAGGGTTTCTCAGTCTAGGATGCATTGTTCTAAATTGTGGGTCGACAGGCTTAATGATGTCAGCAGCAAGCTTCACCATACACTTCAAAACTTTGTTTAACATGTTGGAGACAGTCCCTAGTGACCTCTCAAATCTGTCCTCAGCTTGCCTAAAAGATTGTGGTGCCCCAATCATCCAAAGAAACATCCCTAGAGCCTCAACCGAGGTGGACTTAGCACTAGATTTCAGGCCATATGATTGTACTAAAAGATCATGCAGTCTATGGAACATAGGTGGGCTCATTCTAAACATGCTATAACAGGCCTTGCTATCCCCAAGCTTCCTCTGTACCCATTCCAAACCAGTCATGGCAGGTTGCCTATACTCAGCCCTATTCAAATGCTTGTCAATGTGTAGGGCATACTGATACATACCATAGATAAAAGCATCATCATCTTCAGCATCCTCTAACTCAGCCATCATCATCTCTTGTAAATCATCCCAAGGGTCTACACAATGGGTTGCTGCTGCTGATACAACATCAACCTGTCAAAACAAACAAGGAGTAAACTTAGTCATGAATCACATTACAAATCAATGTCATGCATGACTACGTTCACTGACATGTGCCAGTCACTCTCACCCATGCATCACATAGTTCAAATGGTCACCATACTTCAAGTTCACCAAACATTACTACATTTAAGTTGTTGAAATAAGAAACATCACAAACATAGTTGAAACACACATTCATGCACTATAGACTTAATTCAAATGACATAGGACATGACTGACATTGTTTCAGGACACCATTACGACATGAACTTAAATTCATAGATGAAATAAGATAAGATGGTCTATGGGTCGACCGGCGCAGCTTGCTCGATGATGATCATCCTTTCTTCAGGGCCGTTGGCAAGGAAGAAGTCCATATCACTTTCATTGTGGATGATGTTGTACAGCCCCCTGAACAATGTTGGAGTCTGTGCACTTATACCCATCTCCTTTGCTATATGTGTGACCCTGTCTATCTTCTGGCTAAGGGCCGACCGTGAATTGTGGTCCTATTGCTTCCTGTGCTCAAACATGCTCTCCATGAGGCAGAGCCTATGGTTGGCAATTTCATTGTGTCCTCATGTTGTTGTCCATTGACCTCAGTGCTGGGCTCTTGGACCTCTTGCGTGGGCTGGAGGCAGTGGTGCTCGTGCTGCTGGCCCTCTTGTTGCCAATGCTAAGTGGGGTCAGTTGGTCATCCTACTCATCTGCTGCCTCTTCATCAGAGCTTCCACCATCCAAGTCAATAGTACCACATTCACCAGCAACAAAGGAGGTGGAGCCATCTATTGTGTTTCCAGTAAACATTTTGTCCATTTGATCTAAGTACTCAGGCAAACCTTTCCTGAACTTCATCAAATCAGATTGCCCCTGCAATATGAAATCATTTTGTTATGCAGTGTTTTACTTAGTAAGTGTTGAAATCCAGAAGAGATAGATAGACCATTTACGTTGGTATTTGCTTTCCACCATGCATTAGTGGCCTCAACAGTTCCATCGTCGCTACGACCTAAGCCAGAGCCATAGCAGAGCTTGTTACAGAATGCCCATTGGGCCTTCAGCTGTCTTAGCATACTAGCAATCTGCTCCCTGTCATGGACCAAACCTGTTGATGCTTGGTACCTCCTTAAGAGGTCCCTCCACCCAGTCTTGCTCATGACTCCCTTGGTACAATTGCCAATGGCAATTTCATGGCACCATATGTCACATAACTTCTTAGTGTTCGGTACAGTCCAGTTTGCTTTGTGTTTGATAGCCTAAACGGTGCTTGTTTCAGTTCACGACATGTACAGAGATTAAAGCATTTGGTAAACACTTAAGCTGGGTTAATCAATATCTACAACTGTTGTAGCTTAAATTTATATCACAGCACACCCATAGCACCAGCAACTAAATAATACATATAGCACCCTAGACATATGCATGTAACTTAGCAGATCTACTACTAAATAGAAGATCAAGGAGAAAGGGAGTGGCATTTGTACCGGGACTCGCGGGGCGTGCGTGTTGTCGTCCTGATTGAAGTTGTCATCAAGAATGGCTGGCCCCGGCCCACGTACACGCGCACTGTGGCCCCTGTGACGGCCGGACGCGCCTCCCCGTGGAGGAGACAGAGGAGGGACGAAGCCTCCTCCAACGGATATTCCACCCATGCCTGCTCCTTGTCCTCCTCCACCGGCGATGCTAGTGTTCGACCCGAGGTTGCGCACACTGTTGCGGGAAGGCACACGGATGGGGGTGGGAGCCATGGGGGGACCTCATTGTCCCCCCGAATGTAGCCTGTGTAGGCCTGCATCTGCATCCAGTCCTCGCCGGCGTTGAGATCCAGCGACTCCAACCCCAGCCGGGACTGGTTGAAGCTGCTGGAACCTAAGAAGGTTTGCGCCGCGTCGGGGAAGAGGCCGCTACCGCCGGCATGGCACCAGGGATTACCGGGCGCCAGGAACGCGCGAAGGTGGTCCTCGATCCGGACTCCGACGACGTGGATCTAGCGACGGAGCTCGTGGATCTACGCGACGGCGGTGGGATGGCGGGAGACCGGCGGTGGTGGGAGGGAGTGACCGGCGACGGCGGGCTAGGGTTCAAGAGTGGATGAGAGTGAGGGATAGAGGGCCAGTGTCGGGCGAGCGTGAATGGATAAGGGGTGGGTGGGTGGTACCAGGCGTCCTTCATGCCTCCCAAGCCGCACAGTAGCAGGCCTTCCACCCCACCGTGAACAGTACGAGGCCAAAAAATTTTGGATGCCGTTTAGTTCCAAAAGGCCCAAAGTCAAAAAAATTTGGCTGGCCAAATTTTTTTGCGATCTAAACGCGACCTTAATCCCTACCACGCATTGTAACATGTGTTTTAAACGACAGACTATAGACTATAGTAAGAAGACTATGATAGCACATTAAACATATATATACATCTATTGTATCGATACAACAGTGTTAAAATGATCCTTCACATTCACTAAGAGGATCTAAAAATTACGAGGCTAATAAAAAAAAGAACCTATACTGTTGCATTTTATGATAATCTAACGGTCTAAAGAGTCCATTTTTAGTATAATTGTAAGATTATAATATAATCAGAAAAAAGGAACTTACATCGTTGGATTTTTTTATGATCTACAGCATAGATTAAATAAAAAAAACTATGCATAATACAATTATGATATTAATAAAACATAAAAAGAATAAAATACCTATGCCCTTGGATTTATGATGATCTAACACCTTAGATTAAATAAAATAGTTGATGCCTAATACAACTACGAGATTAATTGAAAAAAACCTACATCATTAAGTTCTATGATAATTTACTGCCTTAGATTAACAAAAGTACATGGTTAATACAAGTAATAGTAAGTAAATTCAAAATAATAAAAAATAAGAAAAAATAACAATTAGATTTCCATAAGAGTTGGAAAGAAAAATAACTAAACACAAATTACATGTAAAACATAATTGTTGAAGGCCAAAAAACATAAAAACTTCGAAAAGTTAACTTGATCTCTAAACGAGTGCAAAGAAGAAAGTACCTACATAATTAGTCCGTATATATAAATAATAATTAGTATACGTAGCTAAATTCAAAACTAAACTTTATGGAGTAATAGTAAATTTTCATACGACGGAGAAAAACATATTGGAGCGATATATATTATCAAAAGATACATGAAAAAAATAAGTAAAGACTCCAATATGGATAGAATATGTATGGAAATTGAAAGGATCAAGATGCCAAAGAGGAAGAGTGAATTGGGCTAATTCTAAAATTCTTTGCAATAATTAAACCCTACACTTAGCGCACTTCACCCATTGTGCCTAGAAAGTGTTTCTAATGTTCTACCGCACAAAAATTTTACACCCTAAGTTCCAATCCTACATTAGCATGGCAATTCTGTGAATGTAAAGATAAGAATTGAATTGCTCAAAGTAAATGCTCAAAGTAAAGAGAGAAGTAGAAACGCGGCGTTGTTTTGCCGAGATATCGGAGAGTCGCCACTCCCTACTAGTCCTCGTTGGAGCACCTGCGCAGGGGTGTAGCTCCCCCTTGATCCGCGCAAGGATCAAGTGCTCTCTACGGGTTGATTCTTCGACACTTCGTCGCGGTGAATCATCCACAACCGCTCACAACTTGAGTTGGGTTATCCACAAGCTCCGCCGGATGATCACCAAGCTCCCAATCACCACCAAGCCGTCTAGGTGATGGCGATCACCAAGAGTAAAAAGCACGAACTCTCACTTGACCACGACAAACCTAATGAGAAGGGTGGATGCACACTTTGTTACTCTTGCTTTCACTAATGAGGCCTCTCTCTTAGATTTTCAAATCTCAATCACATTACTAGGACCTTGATCTCTTTGGCACTCTCAAGGGTGTTTCTCAGCTGTTGAAATGAGCAAAAGTAATTCCTTGAGTGAATAGAGGAAGTATTTATAACCCCTCATTCAAAACGAACCGTTATACGTCACTGCGGGGTGACCGGACGCGTCCGATCAGGATTCTCCCTCTCTAGAACCTTAATGGAGTTGACCGGACTCTGGCACCCAGCGTCTGGTCACATTTCACTCAGCGTCCAGACGCATCCAGACGACTTCACCTTGATCAAATGAACTGACCGGACTCAGCGTCCGGTCACACCGGAACCAGCGTCCGGTCAACATTTGACCCTCCATTCACTTCCAACTCGCAATCATATGTGAATGAAGTTCGCTCCAATTGATCTTATGCCTATTTAGGAGCTACCTAGTGCTAGATTTGACAAAGTGTGCACCACACCTAACCCACTAGACTCACCTAGGTCAAGCTACCCGTCCATACCCCCTTAATAGTACGGTCAAAGAAAAAAAACAAAGTCCTAAACTACTCTAAGTGTTTCTTCAACACCAAACGACACTTAGAACTAGTTCATCCTTAACCTTGTCGTCCATCTTTTAAAAACCGAAGCGATTTCCATCGTAGGGGCATGACAACCATGATTGCCCAATCAATTTCTATTACTATGACTTAACTTAATTGCATCTGCAAAACACACGTTAGTCACACTAATCTCGTATTGTCATTAATCACCGAAACCTAACTAGAGGCCTAGATGTTTTCAGAAATAGACAACAGTAATATATAATTAAATCGCCGTTCCAACTGGATTTTGCCATATAGTAATAAGAATCAAGGAAACTACAAGAATGCCCTTCGTGGAGGCACACCAATGTCTTGGCATGTCCGTGGAAAATCACCGAAATACATTTCTCATAACGTCGTCTCTTTTTCCTTTACGGTGCTCTATGCTTCGCCATCTTAATGTGCCTTCTCGGTGTCGCTCTAAAATCGTGTTTGGTCCGTGGGACAAAATGAGATAGGACAAGACTATCTCATTTTACTTGTGTTTGGTTCATATATAGCGGCATATCGCTCGTTATATAACCCTTTTGCCTTTTCTCGGCATTCTCAAACAAATGCTTGTGAACGAAGCATCTCAGGACCATTGCCATGCCGGGTTAGGAATTAGAGCTGGCTACATGTTTTTGATCATTGCCATGCTTGTGAACGAAGCATCTCAGGACCATTGGCATGTGCACTCTCTGGCTACTAGTTCTGCTTCTGCCCAAGCTTTTCCTTTGCTACCGTGAGCCAGCGGAATTGGCTCACTCGATCGGGGCTACCACCTCCCAGGCTCTTCTCCCTTTTGCGGGGTTGCTGAAACAGGATGCCCGGTATCGTGCGCTAGTCAAGCTTTTTTCCCCCAAATGATCCGTTCAAAGTCGAGCCTGCCCGTCGATTGAAAAGTGAAAACGAGAGAGACTTCGTATTTTTTTTTTCAAAGATGATGGCAGCTGTGTTCGTGTAGCGGCGACGGGCGCTACGTGGTTCATGGTCGAGGGAGCGCGACAGAAAGATGACCGGGTCGATAAGGTGGGTCCAACCCCACCAACCGAGCGAATTCCACTCGCCATCATCGATCGACGACGATTCTACGGCGACGCAGCACGTCGACAGCTGAAACCTTTCCCATTCGGACCACCATGACATATGGCGCCTCGCATGCTGAAAGCTGAATGGAGATTATTTATAAAAATATGTATATAGATACATACAATTGCATTCTACTTGTACATTTAGACACACGTACTACGTACACGAAGCTCACGGCGACACTGACAACGTCTAACAGGTTTTTACACGAAGTCACAATGACAGCCCAGTCTGTCCAGTCCAAAGGCAGGCAGGCAGGGGCAGCTGAAAAAAAGTGGGAAACCAAGGAAACTTCTTCCGGTACGACGATACAAGAGGATGCTTCGCCTCCATTCCATGGATCGCATTCGCATCCATGCACTACACTACACCACGGCAACAACCACAATTATTCGTATAGCTTTATTCGGTTCGTCCAGAGCCCTTGCTGTACCCGTAGGCCCAACTTTTTCACTCGGCAATTCATCATGCACGGTACTCGATCGCAAAAATAATCATGTGCCACCGGGTTAGCACCGCCGTGCGCCGTGCATTATTGGCCTCCCCCGGTGTACACGCATGCGCCGTAGCCTGCAGAGATCGGAGAGAGAGAAATGAGTTAGATTTGCTCGAAGAAAAAAAGAACAGATGGCCCGTTCGGCTTACGGGGCTCGCTGAAACCTGAGTTTGAAAGCGGCTGAAACGCTATTTTGGCTGAAAAAAAGAAACCGAACGGGACGTAAAGACAACACTCTCCGGCAAGAAAATGATTGCTGACGCTACACGTACTGCCTCCGTAACATAGAGCCTGTTCGCTAGGTTTCTAGCCTGATAAATTCCACGCTGCTGATTTGTTCGAGAGGAAAATACTGTTGGTTGGCTGATAAACTTTAATACAAGCGAACAGGCTGAAAGTGTGCAGTACAACAACAAGCAAGCACAGAGATACGGACGCGTAGATAACCCGAAGATGAGTCGTGACTCATGAGTGTAGGAGTACGTGCGACTACAAGACTAGCAAAGCAAACTTGGGCACTATCACAGTGTTATTACTCTGAGACTGTGATCACGCATGGACTAGTAAAGTCTTTTGCAGCGAACTATCAGCACATGGACAATGGATGATGGAAAGGAGGACACCAGGATCAGCAAAGCTGGTTTCCTTTTTATCATGCACATGTCATGTCACCATTGTCATGCTCGTGCATGCAGCAGTGCTGCAAGATCTGCATGGACAAAGACCAACAAATCAGGCCATGTCGGCGCCCTGCCTGCCTAGCGAGCAGCGACGGCTGACGACGCTCCGTGACGATTATCACGAAGCATGATGATGCGTGCGGACGATTAATTCGGCGGGCCATGATTCCCTTCCTTCCATGAACAAGAACAAATTGCAGAGCAAGAGAGATTGGAAGGGGAGACAGGGACGACGCGGGCACATGTAACGTACTTGGGTTTTCGGAGGTGAGCGCGGCGGACGCCCGGAAGTCGCAGTTCCACGGGTGCCGCCCGGCCGCCTGGTACAGCTGGTTCATGGCGTACGCGGCGTGCGCGCGCACCGTGTTGGGCTCGAAGCACGCGCCGCCGGGCTGGATGGCGCCGCAGTCGACGCCCAGCTGCGAGCACGCGTAGTCCAGGTCCACCTGCAGCTCCGCGTCCGAGGCGCCGTCCCGCGCCACGCACCACCCGCCGGCCTGCTTGGCCTGCGCCGCCCCTCCTCCCCCTGCTGCCGGCGTGGAGGAGGTCAGTCCGGCGTCGTACGCCATGGTCAGGTCCGTGTGGTACAGCCCGAACGAGCGCTCCGACGTGGGCCCAGGCTTGAGGTCCTCGTCGTAGAGCGCGAACAGGTACGTCTCCACCGACTTGCCCGGCATCAGCGGCGTGCCGGCGCCGGACCGCAGGTGCGCCACCAGGTTGGACACGTACGCCCTGGCGTTCTCCGCCGTGGCTCCAGGCTCCCCGGCGTCGCCTTTTGTCGGCCACCCGGTCTCGGCCACCACGATGTCCACGCTCCCGTACCCGGCGCGCACCAGCGCCGACTTCACGGCGTCCAGCTGCGCGTCGAACATGTTGGTGTACCTGATCCTGGACCCGCCGTCGACGCGCCCGGCGTTGGGCTGGAACAGGCAGAACGACAGCGTCTCCGGCCGCGGGTCCGACTGGTACGCGAACCACGGGTACGGGTTGATCATGAAGGGCGCGCCGGTCCGGCTGAGGAACGCCAGGATCTGCTGCAGCTGCGGCGCCACGTCCGGGTGGAACGCGCCCGTGGACGGCGGGTCCGACTGCGCCATCACGCCCATGGTGTTGACGGTCGAGAACCTGATCCCCGCCGCGCCGTCCCCGCCGCGCGGCGGCCGCGGCGCGGAGGTTCTGCATGGCCGGCAGCAGCGCCGCGGCCAGGACGCGTCCCCGGACTCCAGCACCTCGTTGCCGACGGCCACGGTCGAGATGGTGGTCGCCGGGACGAAGGGCAGCACGTTCGCCGCCAGCCACCGCGACGCCGCCGCCGGGTCGGCGGCCAGCGAGGGGATGTCGCCGTTCGCCACGCCGACGACGACCGAGATGCCGGACCCCGCCAGCGCCCGGATCAGCCCCGCGTCCACGCCGTAGAGACGCACCTTGGAGATGGACGTCGACTTGAGCAGCTTCGCCGTCTCGTCCGGCGACGGCAGGTTGTCCGCCACCTCGCCGTAGTTCACGCCGATGTACGGCTGCGCTCCTGCTCCTGCACGCGCGCAATGTGGCGCAAACAAATCCGCTCCCGCATCACCAATCGATGGAGTACAATGACACAAAACAAAACTAAAGCTGCCAGCCGATAAATATAGAGGATAAATGGATAATCCTCCCCCAACCCAATCCCTCAATCAACCACCACCCAGAAAAGAGACGAAATCCATTCCAGTTCCAGAAGAACTTTACGGCGGGCGGGCAAAGCCCGGATTTCCTTCCCGATATGCCAACTTTCCGTGCACTTCTCGGGACTCGCGATCGAGATCGATGCTCCGCGAAAAGGAAAAAAACAAAGGAGAGAAAAAGAGATTACTACTACTGCTAGTAGTGGTAAAAGAAAGAGACAGATTGGTGCTACTCACTCGACGCGCAGACGAGGCAGATGAGCCAGATTGGCAGCAGAGCGGCGGCGGGCTTCCTCGCCGCGGCGCCCATGGGGATTCGTCACCTGTCAGAGCCCAGAAGAAAGGGATTGGAGAAGAGGATTTGGGGGAAAGGGACGAGCTGCCGCAGCAGAACGAGGCCGCCAAGTGTGAGCTGAGCTCAGCCAGTGTTAGGATTAGATTAGGAGTGGAGCCGTTAAAACGTGGACGTGGCGCTAGCACGAAGGCCCCACCGTGGCGTGCGGCCGCCGGACACGGGGTAGCTCAGCCCAGTGTAAGGAAGGCACCCGGTGTCTGGAGTACGTACCTGTACCGAAGCCTTGACTTGAGAGTGCGGGGCGGCTGTGCGAGGACGCGCGCTGAGCTGTGGCCACGTGCGTGGGCCGTGGCGCGTGGACGGCGGTCGGATCGCTGGACCCTGGTGGAGGCGACGGCGGCAGGGCTGCGGTCTGCGGATGCGGTGGGTGTTAAAAGAATATGTAGGATCACGTGACCACAATATTTAGTTGATTGATGGTTGATTGATATCTCTTAAAGATTGGTTGTGCGTTTAGGCTTGGATTGCGAGTGAAGGCAAGTATCTCGGCTTCGGTTAGATAGGGTAGGTATCTTCTGATTGATGTAATCTTGTGATGTAATCTAGAGTTACCAAAGTAGTTAGCTTCTTCTTGTTGTATAAGTTGTACCGCCACGCTAGGGGCTCTTTCTGGCTATATTAACACGAAGCCGTGAGCCTGAGAGGGCATCACTTTCCAACCATTTTCACATGGTAATCAGAGCTAGGTTAGTCCACAATATTCTCAATGGCTTCCTCTTCCGTGCTTCAACAATCGTTCTCTCTGATCAGTTGTCCTGTCACCGAGAAGCTAGGCAAAGTGAATTTTCCCCAATGGAGCGCCCAGTCTTTGTCGCTCTCTTCGCATCTTGCGAGATAGCGCACTATCTAGAGCCCGGCATTGTGGTGCCGCAAAGCAGATCCCAAGCGGCGGACCGATAAGCCGATCGAGCTCATCCCCAACCCCGAGTATGAAACTTGGGTTGCGAAGGACCAACAGATCATTAACTATCGCTCTCCAATATCTCCAAGGAGATCCAGCAAGTCTCCAATTGCGCCACATCGGCCAAGATCTCGAAAGTGATCTCGGAGATGACGGCTTCCGATCCTCGGGGCAGATCATCAACATGCACATGGCGTTATTACCCGCAGTTGAAAGGGCTCGTCTCAATCGCCGACTACTTCAACAAGATGAAATCTCTTCTCGACGACATGGCGGTCGCCAAGAAAGCGTCTTGAAGATGAAGAGACCATCTCCTATGTACTAGCCGGACTTGACATGGATTTTAATCCGATTGTCTCGGTTGTCGCGCAACGCACGCAGAGCCGCTATCTTTGGGCGAGCTCTACACCCAGCTAGTGAGCTGGGAACAGCGGATGGATCTCCTGCACGGTGGATCCGGTTCATCTACTAACACGGCTACACGTGGAGGCCGTGGCGGTTTCAACCGCGGCGGTGGTGGCCGAGGACGCGGGCGCGGCCGCAACCGTGGCAACAACAACAACAGCGGGCGCCCCCGGCAGAACTACAACGACGATAAACCCATCTGCCAGCTCTGCGGCAAGAAGGGCCACACCGAACTCCGCTGCTTCAAGCGTTTTGACGCTTCCTTCACCGGCCCACCAGAGCAATCCCGATCTGTCTCCTCTGCGTCATATGGGATCGACACCAACTGATACATCGACACTAGTGCTACCGACCACATCACGGGAGAGCTGGAGAAGCTCACCGTGAGGGACAAGTACCATGAAAACGACAAGGTTCATGCTGCTAATGGCGTAGGTATGAGAATCAATCAAATTGGTCGAAGTTTTGTTCGTACCCCAAATTAAAATCTTGTCCTAAACAATGTTCTTTATGTTCCTGAAGCTAACAAAAGCCTTGCATCTGTTCATCGTCTTACATCCGATAACCATGCTTTTATTGAATATCATCCCAACTGTTTTTTGATTAAGGACCAGGCAACGAAAAAAAACCATCCTTAGAGGGGAATGTGAAGGCGGCCTCTACCCGTTAAAGTCTACGCCGTCATCGAATAAAGGGGCATTTGGTGCTGTCAAGTCTCCTTCGTCCAGGTGGCATAGTCGTCTCGGCCACCCTTCTTTTGCAGTCGTTCAATAAGTCCTTAGCAAAAATAGTATTCCCTTTGTTGCCGATTTGAATAAAGAAACTATTTGCGATGCTTGCCAAAAGGGCAAAAAAAATATTCAAATCAAAAACGAACTAAATCAATGAAAACGGGCAAGTCATTTCATGCTCCCCGAGCAATTTCCCGCTTTAAGCGAGAACAGTGGCGATCCCCTGTGCTGATTCACCGCACCTTCCAATCGTGGAGCCGACAGATCGGTCTTGGATCCGACGGCGTCGACTCTGCGCTAGTGATTTAACACGCCGCCCCACTCAAAGATCCTCTCCATGTGCGCCACGTGTCTCGAACTTGCCTCTCCTAGCTCCACTCGGACGGGGACATGATATTTCGAATCGATGGTGGAGAATCTCCCTTGGGTCCGTCATTGTTGGGATCTTCTGCGCCCGACCACAGATCAACCCACCGGGATCTTCTGCGCCCAACCACAGATCAACCCACCAGATCTTCTACATCGCCTGCAGCACCGGCTCTCCAGCGACCCACCACACGTCTACAACAAGGTATACGTAAACCAAAAATTTACACTAATGGAACTATTCGATATGGTCAGTTAGCAGCCTCCACTGAAGGTCCTATTGATTTGCAACATGCCTTAGTCGATAATAATTGGAAGCGTGCTATGGATGTTGAATTTGATGCATTGAGCAGGAATAAAACTTGGCATCTAGTTCCACCTCAAAAAGGTAAAAATGTGATAGATTGCAAGTGGGTCTATAAAATCAAAAGAAGATCAGATGGAAAATTTGACAGATATAAGGCACGGCTAGTAGCAAAGGGGTTCAAACAATGATATGGCATTGATTATGAGGACACTTTTAGTCCTGTTGTGAAAGCAGTCACAATTTGTCTTGTGCTCTCTCTAGCTATGTCTAAGGATTGGTGTTTGAGGCAACTCGATGTTCAGAACGCTTTCTTGCATGGTTTCCTTGAAGAAGAGGTATACATGAAACAACCGCCAGGTTATGAAGATAAGACCAAACCACATCACTTATGCAAACTTGACGGATCCCTGTATGGTTTAAAACAAGCACCACGGGCCTGGTATTCTAGGTTGTGTGGTAAACTTCAGAGTCTAGGCTTGTTCCCTCCAAAGCTGACACATCATTATTCTTTTATCGGAAAGGAAATCATATCATCTTTATGCTTGTATATGTTGATGATATAATTGTGGCCAGTTCATCATAGGAAGCAGTGGATGCTCTTCTCCGAGATTTAGAGGAGGACTTTGCAATTAAAGATCTCGGGAACCTTCACTATTTTCTTGGCATACAGGTTCAAAGAAAGAAAGGTGAATTGCTTTTGACATAGAAACGGTATGCTTCTGATATCCTCAAGAGAGTTAATATGCAGCTGTGTAAACCCATCAAAACACCCCTTAATACTACCGAAAAGATTTCAGTCACTAGTGGCACTCGGTTAGATGTGGAGGACTCAACCAGATATAGGAGCATTGTTGGAGCTCTCCAGTATCTCACCCTCACACGACCAAATCTGTCTTTTTCGGTCAACAAAGTTTGTCAATTCCTTCACTCACCGACGATCGTTCATTGGGAAGCTGTGAAGAGAATATTGAGATATGTACAAGGAACAATCGGCCTAGGGTTAAAAATTAGAAAATCTAACTCTATGCTTGTAAGTGCTTTTTCAGATGCTGATTGGACCGGTTGCCCTGATGACAGACGATCTACAGGTGGCTTTGTTGTATTCCTAGGTTGCAACCTAGTGTCATGGTGCGCAAGAAAACAGCCCTACGGTTTCAAGATCAAGTCTGAAAGTTTGAATACAAGTCTTTGACCAATGCTCTCAGAGATGTAATATGGGTACAAAAATTACTTGATGAGTTAGGTATTCCACATCCTTTGGCGGCGTGTTTATGGTGTGATAATCTTGGCGCAAAGTACCTATCGGCTAACCACAGATTTCATGCACGCACCAAGCATATAGAGATCGATTTTTCATTTTGTACGCGAACAAGTTGCGACAAAGTGCACGGACATCGATTCATCAAAGACTCTGGATCGGATCGTCGATGGCTTCACTAAGCCTCTTCCAGAGAAGCAAATGGTCATGTTCGAGAGACAATCTCAACCTCGCTGATAAGTTGTGATTGAGGGGGATGTTAAGAATATCCAATAGGATCACATGACCGCAATATATGGTTGATTGATATCTCCTGAAGATTATCTGGTTGATTGATATCTCCTAAAGATTGGTTGTGCTCTCAGGCTTGGATTACGGGTGAAGACAAGTATCACGGCTTCGGTTAGATAGGATAGGTATCTCCTGATTGATGTAATCTTGTTATGTAATCTACAGTTATCAAAGTAGTTAGTTTCTTCTTATTATACCAGTTGTACCGCCACGCCAGAGACTCTTCCTAACTATATTAACACGAAACCATGAGCATAAGAGAACGTCACGTTCCAACCATTTTCACGGTGGGAGCACCTCCGACAAGGCTCCCAGAGGTAGAGGACGATGGAGGGAGGACCGGAGGAACGGGCCGGAGCGAGCCGTTAGCCCGTTACGCGTGGCTGATCATTGCGGCTAATAACAGAGCCTCCGCACCATGTTCCAATTTTCACTTTCTGTACTGTGCGCGGGGTAACTTTTTTTGGTTGAGGTCGTCCGGAGTGGATTGATCATGTGATGGCGTAGGGACAAACGCACGGGCACGGCCGCACCAATGGCTCTGTGGCTTTCTTTCGTACGAGTATGAATGTATGATACTCCTAGTTTGTACTGTATGAATTGTACTGCCGCGCAATGGATTGCGCTTTTTTGCAAGGAACAAAGTGATTTCGTGTACCAATGGTCTAAGCGCGTGGGCTCCAAGCTCGCACGGAG